GCTCCTCTGGGCATGTGGCGGGGGAAACAGTGTTATAGTGGTATCAGATGAGGGAAACCCCATCGGGTGGGGCTTTCTCTCAGTGGAAACACTGGTACACTCTATGATAACCTCATTTTAGAAGTTGCTCTGTAGTAGATTTATTTCCACACTAGAAGCAGTCTATGATATTTTTAGCAGGTTTTTGATTTTTTTTTTAATGTAAAAACAATGTACCATGTGAGATTTCTTGCATGATATTAGATGATTCCCAAATATTTTCTGTATGGAAAGATTAAACAGTGTAAATGCACTGGTCTCCAGGGTTTAAATGTATCTTGCACTGTGAGGGTTAAACTGCTATTAATCCGTGGTTCAGATGCGTGCCAAACCGTGAAGGTGATCGTTTAGAATCCAAGATCGACCAAACTAAAAATATTTCTGATGTTTTCCAAAAACCAAGCAAAGTAGTTTTATTGACCAACCCAAATAAGTGGCTTCATTTGAAATCAGAATTTTAGTTTTTTTAGGTAACTGTTTGTGAGGTAGTTGCTGTATGTTATGCTATAATTTTGAGGCAAAACTCACAAGAAATTGGAGTAACCTTTTCATTAGATATGATATGAACTTGCAACTTTATATGAGCACACGTTGACTGGATGAATATTTCTAACTTTATCTAGTTAGTGTTGTCAGACAAGAAACAGGGCCATAGCCAAGGACAAAGGATAGGTTGTAGCATTCTATCAGTTGTTGAAAGTCAGTTTCTAAGACCGCCGCTCTTTCCATTATTCCCCTGTTGGTGGAGGCTTTTCAAACACTGTGCTCCACTTTCATTTGATACATGTAGATCTGAGGTGTCCCAGCATTGGGATTCAGCAGGACCATTATGCACACTGTAATACGCTGCTGTGAATAGTGAGGCCTTTGTTAATGGCTCCACAGAGTGGTACAGTATGTCACTAACAAGGGAAACTTAATTATTGATCACAAAGAGGGACAGTATGAGTGAGGGCACAATTTAATAAGAATGAATCATGCCAAACTTGTATGGAATTTGTGAAAAAGGTTTTATGAACTGCTGTTCCAAAGTGGCTGTGAACCTACCAAGTTCAGTGGAATGAGTCCACCCAGCCATCACATATACAGCCAATCCATCTGTGTTTCATTTGACCCCCAACTGTCCACCATTTATTCTCTCAGTCAAAACACTTCCAAACACTTCCACTTTCATTTAATCATATTCACACCATTTTTCATTTTCCTCAGCATAGGTTTACAGTGGCCGATGCAAGACTTGACACAGAAGAGCTATTGCTTTCATTTTATTAACTGACCACAAATTGGTACATGCATGGTAAACTGAACTAATGGAATAGCATTGACATTGTCTTTCATTAAATGAAGCAGGCTCTGTAGCTGTTTTTGATTAAAGATTAGGTCCATGTAGAAAGATAAATCTGAAGCATTACTCAGCCACGTAAGAGCATGCAGGGAATAGCAAGGGAATTTGAATTAATTATTTATATGATTAACCCTTTAGAACAAGTTCTACCTCTTCAAAGATACAATATGGGGAAAGTAATGACATATTGCCTTTTGGCAACAAATATGTTTCAAGAACATATCCCGGTTTTGATACATGAATCCTTCTTTGAGTCTATGCACCGATTCTTTAGTCTTTTGAGACAAATTTGTGATATATATAGATTCTTATTCAACTAAAAGAAAAATAATAATTCAACAAATCAGGCCTCAGTAGTGTGAATCTTTCAACACAATTTCTTGGGATTATTAGTTAGGGTCATTTAAAACAGTGGTCCCCAACCTTTTTTACCTCACGGACCGTTTTCATGTCAGACAATATTTCGCGGACCGGTCGAGAGGGTCCGACGGGGGGGGCGATGGTGTAGTAGTCGCGCGCTCTGTGTTCGCTGCGGGGGGGTTGTAGTGTTCGTTGGTGGGCGAAACTGCCGTGCACGGTAAAAGGACAATTGTAAACGTGAAGAAAAACGCCTGGGGCCTCATTTATAATTGGTATTTATAAAAAGTAAACTTGACGGAAAAATGTGCGGTCCTTCACGCAAGCTCGGACCCATGCGTAACCGTCGGCAAATGCAAGAAACACGCAAACCTGTGTTAAAGTGTGTAAAACTAGACTCTCATAAATAACACGAACACCCGTTTGATCGATCTGCAGCGTAAAACAACAAATTAACACATTTTCAAAAAGAAAAGTGAAATATGTTCTGCAATAATATTGGCATGTTATGCAATTCATCCTCAAAACACAGCTGTTGCTTGTCAGATGCAATCAAACGGACGGTAATAAAATGCCAGGATGCCATCGCAATGCGTAATGACTGCTCTTGCGCTCTTAGAATTACATTACAGGTAATTTAGCAGACGCTTTTATCCAAAGCGACTTACATTACACTTTAAACCCATGGCTTTTTCACATTTTTGCCTGGGGAGCAATTAGGGGTTAGGTGTCTTGCTCAGGGACACTTCGACATGGGGCAGCCTGGAATCGAACCACCAAGCTTGTGCTTCCAGCACACCTTCCCTAACCCCTGCGCCACGACGACCCCAGAAGATGTGGCACATGGAAGGATTTGCGCTGTAGTGGAGCGCACCATCGGCCTGTTTAAGGGCAGACGGCGCTGCCTCGACTGCACTGGAGGGACGTTATTGTTTACTCTTGAAAAGGTGTGCAAAATCGTGCTGGCATGTGCTGTGCTACATAATGTGGCACAGATTCCAAACGTGCCTCGACCCCCTGACGCCGATGGCTGTGTTGGCCCAGACCCTGTCCCCGATCCCCAATCATTGCCGCCAGTCTCTCATCAAGAGGGGACAGCTCCGGTGTCCCCTTTCCTCCACCCGTGGCAGACACACTTTGGTGATGGCGCGCTAAACGCGTTTTTGCATCTACTTTGATGTCAGACCATTTTTTCTTTATTTCGGCCACGGTACGAGGTTGTGAGGCTGCAGCGTTGCTCTGCAACCTTTTGCCAATCTAGTGCCTTTTTGGCATTAGTAATGTCCATACTGTGCCCTCAAAGAGCATTAGACTTCTCCTTTCCACCTCGCCAATGTTAATTTTGAATTCGAAGTTACGTTTCTTCGTTTTCCTCTCAGTGTTTGCATGATTTCGCAATCGATGAATATTAATTTGTGGGCGTTCCACAGACTATATATGGGCAACTATGGGCGTGACATGAAGCCGCAAAAGCTGCGCTGCATTTAGAAGGGATTGTGATTTATTAAGGGAAAACTGCGGAGGAGGTTTTATAAGTCTGAATATTTCTGTGCGTACAGACGTCCTCCGTTTCATCCGTACGCCACTTTTGGCGCAAATCCTGCAAGGTTTTATAAATGAGGCCCCTGGTGACGCGTGGGGAATATGTCAGAGGGACGAGCGCACATAATTAGGAGAAAATCCGGTCAATTTTCAAAATAAAACATTTTTCAGAAAAAAAATATATATGTATATATATAAAAGCTTTCTGTGGTGCGGCCAAGTACCAAACGGACCGGTACCGGTTTTAAATATGTCCCTCAGATTGTGTTGGAATTTACGGTATCTACAAATCATCGTGAAGAAGAAACAAAAGAAAGGAAAGGGGATTAAGTAGAGCAAAGGGAATACCATAATTACTGCACATTCGATTGTCCTCATCTTCCCTTTAGGACGGAGCATCAAGGCTCCTCACACAAATCCAAAACAAGTAAATTCTAAAATGGATTTGGATAGGCTCAAATCTATACAACCATTTCATTCCTTTTTAAGCTCTGCTATGAAGATGCATTTGAATGTCTATTAGTCATTTCATCACCGAGCCTCTCCGGCATCTTGATCCCTGAGGACATAAGAAAAGAAACACTTACAAACTTTTATAACCGCATTATCATTAATTTATGAGCTGAAGCTATCTTTGTCAATACAATTAGTTACACCTACTGTGATTTGATAGAATGTCTTCTACCGACCCTCATCCCTGTAAAGTCATCTCTTGATATACTGAGTATTGCTGAGCTGTCTGCAACCTTAATATCAAAGCTGTGGCTGAATTACATGAATCATTCCATGTTTGACCTTGATGTTAGTGAGGTCCAATTTGATTAGATGACCACGAGTGATTATCATGCAAAACAGCAAGTCAAATAAATGTCTGACAAACATTTATTCATCCGTCTCTCAGGGGCTGAAATGTCATTCACAATAAAAAAGAACTGGACTGGAGAATGTTCAAGCTTGTGGCAGACATCAACTCATCAAGGGCTGTTCAGGGCTTCATTAGCAGGCAGCAGATCTTTCTATGCTTTACTCCACAGCACTTCCCCAATTGCCGTCTCAGGTGCATCCTACATCTTAAACTGTAAAACTTAAATATTGCTCTCCAGCTCTGTGAGATTTCCCTTTGTATAGTCCCAATACATGCACAGACATGTTTTTACACATCCATACAGTCACATGTTCCATTCTCTTCATTGCAAATCCTGGTGCAGTTCCAATGAAGAGATCTGACATTGAATTGTAGATTAATATGACTGAGAAGGGTGCTTTGGTATGCACTACATGAGGTGAATAAAAATGAATGAAGATTTTGGCATTGAAAATTCCATCCTCTTCCCCCTGGTCCCTGGAGTTGGAGCCCCTGGCATATTCTTTGTCCCTGCTGTGACTAGTCTGTTGAAAATCATAAGATTCCTTTTTTCTTTTTCTCTAGCAACGCCGGAAGAAATGTGAGAACAAATAGGTGGTTGCTATTTTCTGCCAAGCAAGCAAATCATTTGACACAATTTACTGCAAGAGTAACTCATAAGTTACGAGGGGTACTCTTGTCTTTCATTTTTCGATGTTGCTTTGAGATGTGTGTCTGTCGGTTATAAGTGTTCATGGCAAGGGAGCAGAAATATCCCAAGATCCTCTAGTCTCTGTGGCAAACCAGGGGGAGGAACAAAGCACTTGGGGCGGAGCCCCAAGCTCCGGTTGGGGGAGGTGATAAGGGGGATTTATTATCCTGTGCAGGTGCTCCAGCCACTGGGAACGTGGCACTGGTCACACCTGCGGCCTATCTGGTAATCAGAGCAGACCCTAGATAAGGAGAGGAGAAGAGACCGGAGGGGGGCAGACGTCGGAGAGGAGGTAACCCCCAGGACTCACCGCTCTACTCTACTCTGCTCCTAACAGGACAAGGAAGCGGGCGCCACGTAGGAGGAGACGCCACATATTTCAGTTTGGAAGCCGGTTGGAAGAGCCGTAGTTTTTGACCTTTGTTATTAAAAGGACCCTTTTTGTTTGCATTTGCTGTCTGAGTTTCTTATTTTACGCCCGAATCTGGCCTCACTCCCCCTGGGTTACCACATTTTGGTGGAGGATGCAGGCATGACGGTCTGTCGCTAAAGATTCAGGCTAAAATAGGTACTCCGAGAGAGACACGGAGAACCATGGAGAATGCGCTGACACAGCTCATCCAGACCCAAACCCAGCAGGCCCAGAGTCTTCAAGCCTTACAGGACGCCATCACTACTCTTGGACAGCATCTGGTAAAGCCAGAGAGGCCTACGGAACCCAGTAAAGTTCTCACCAAGCAGACCGGTGAGGATGACATTGAGGCCTACCTAGAGGTTTTTGAAAGGACTGCAGAGAGGGAACGTTGGCCTAGAGCACAATGGGCAGGAATTCTAGCCCCTTTTTTAATTGGCGAAGCTCAAAAAGCCTGCCGGGACCTTTCCCCCGCTGACGTAAACCAGTATGGGGCATTGAAAGCTGCGATTTTGGCCCATTATGGACACAACCTGCAGACGAGGGCCCAACAGTTCCACGCCTGGGAGTATGACGCTACTGCCCCAGTGCGGCCGCAAATTGCAACGCTGATGCGATTGACACGCAGTTGGTTAACCTCGGGGGAGGGGCCTCCAGCGATTGACAGAGTTGCCATGGATCGCTGTATCAGAGCCTTACCCGGGGGTGCCAAACGACACGCTTCTCAAAGCTGCCCAGAGACAGTAGATGCCCTAGTGACGCTGTTGGAGAATCACCAGGTCACGGTACAGTTGATGCAAAGCAGTAGGCCACCCAGCCAATCGGACCCCAGGAGAGACAGGCAGAGGCTGAGGAAGAGCGACATGGAGGCACTGGGCCCAAGCCCGAGGCCCCAAGGGGGTCCGCCCCAGCCATCCCTCCAGCGCCGCCCCTTTGTGAATCCGGACCGGCGAAAATGCTTTGCCTGTGGACAAGAGGGCCATATAGCGTGGAATTGTCCGGGAGAAGACATTCTGATGCCTACGGCGGGCTCCTCCGACTCCCCACGGAAGGCCGACAGCTATCTTACCACGTGCTGGGCTCATGAGGGCGCAAGGGCCCCAAAGCTGCCGGTCAGAATAGGGACCCAGGATGCTGAAGCCCTACTCGACTCCGGCAGTGCGGTCACCCTCCTACGGCCCGGGTTGACCTCTGGCCCCAGGGGACCCCCTATCCCAGTCTCCTGTGTCCACGGGGATTCACGAGAGTATCCCACGACCCACATTAAGGTCCAGACCACCAGGGGCACATTTGAGGTTGTTGCGGGCTTAGTGGAAAATCTGCCGGTACCAGTGCTGATTGGGCGGGACTGCCCGATATTCTGGCGTTTGTGGGCATGCAGGACTGCTGGCCACCGAAGAAACTGTCCCACCAAGAAACCTGGTAGGGACCAGAAAGTCAAGGTGGCACATGCCTGTGCAGCCCCATCTAGCCCAACCACGTCATCTGCAGAAGGGACAGAGGAGGAGGCCCTGGCCCCAGCGGAGGCCCCGGCCCCAGCGGAGGCCCCGGCCCCAGCGGAGGCCCCGACAAGGAGGGATCCCCGACTAACTGAAGGGTCTTCGAACGAGGCTTTTTCGGAGTTCCCACTGGCAGAAGAGGCATCTTCCACCAGGCCCGGGCAGTTTGGGACGGCCCAGTGGGAGGACCCTAACCTGGAACAAGCGCGACAGAACCTGGCTGTGGTCGAGGGAGAACCGGTGGCGGGGGTAAGTGCTAGCACCTTTCCACACTTTTCAATCAAGAATGGCCTCTTGTATAGGGTGGCAAAGCTGGAGGAACGGGTGGTGGAACAGTTGCTAGTCCCCAAGCGCTATATTAACAAAGTGTTGTACCTAGCCCACTCCCACCTGTTGGGAGCTCATTTGGGGGTGGAGAAAACCTACGACCGAGTCCGGGAGCGCTTCTACTGGCCGGGGGTGAAGAAGGCGGTCCAGGATTATTGCCAAATCTGCCCACAATGCCAGAAGACGGCGCCGAAGGTAAACTACCAGAATCCACTAATACCACTACCAATAATCGACATCCCATTCCAGAGGGTGGCCATGGATATAGTAGGCCCCTTGCCGAAGTCCAGTAGGGGGCACCGGTTTATCCTGGTTATCATGGATTATGCCACCCGGGACCCAGAGGCGGTCCCGTTACGCACCGCAGGTGCTAAAGCGGTGGCGAGAGAATTATTCCTTCTCTTTAGTAGAGTTGGGATTGCAAAGGAAGTCCTTACTGACCAGGGAACCTGTTTCATGTCTCGGGTGATGAAGGAGATGTGTAAACTGCTGAAGGTGAGCCAAATACGAACCTCTGTCTACCACCCACAGACGGACGGCCTGGTAGAACGTTTCAATAAAACCTTAAAACAAATGCTAAGGAAGGCTATTGACGTGGAGGGGAAAAACTGGGACCAACTAATCCCCTTTGTCTTGTTCTCAATCCGCGAAGTGCCCCAGGCGTCCACAGGGTTCTCACCATTTGAGCTGCTGTATGGACGGAGACCCAGGGGCATGCTGGACCTGGCCAAAGAAGCATGGGAGCAACAGCCATCAGCCCATCGCTCCGCCATAGAGTATGTCGACCAGATGCAGGACAGGATGGCTAAGGTATGGCCCCTGGTGCGGGAGCATATGCAACAAGCCCAACACGCCCAAGCCAGAATCTATAACCGTAGAGCTCAGCTACGGGAGTTCCAGCCGGGAGAGTTTGTCTTGGTCCTGATTCCAACGGTGGAATGCAAATTCCTGGCAAAGTGGCATGGACCCTATGAGGTGATCGAAAGGGTGGGGGAGGTGAATTATAAGGTAAGACAACCGGGAAGGAGGAAAATCTGCCAAATATATCACATTAATCTGTTGAAGAGATGGCACGCCCCTGACAGTGTTCCGATGGCCGCACTAACCACCGAAACCCAAGATCGTGTCCCCTCACAGGTACCTCTGGGCCCCCATCTGAGTCCGACCCACCGGCAAGACATGGTGGAACTAACTGGGCAGTTCAAAGATGTTTTTTCAGACATGCCGGGAAGGACCACGGTGATTAACCACGACATCATCACCGAACCTGGGAAAAAGGTGAGGCTCCGACCCTACCGCATACCAGAGGCAAAAAGGGAGACCATCAAAGAAGAGGTGAGAAGGATGTTGGAGATGGGCGTTATTGAGGAGTCACACAGTGCATGGTCCAGCCCGATTGTGTTGACTCCAAAACCCGACGGCAGCGAGAGATTCTGCAATGATTTTAGAAAATTGAACGAAATCTCAAAATTTGACGCTTACCCCATGCCGAGGGTTGATGAGTTAATAGAGCGATTAGGCCCAGCCCGGTTTGTGTCCACGCTCGACCTCACTAAAGGTTACTGGCAGGTTCCCCTCACAGAAACCGCCAAAGAGAAGACAGCGTTTGCTACCCCAGAAGGCCTGTACCACTATAGAGTCCTGCCCTTCGGAGTCCACGGAGCGCCAGCTACGTTCCAAAGAATGATGGACCAGGTGCTCCGACCTCATCGGGAGTATGCAGCGGCCTACCTAGATGATGTGGTCATACACAGCCCCGACTGGACCACCCATGTAGGCCACCTGAAAGCTGTCCTGGGAAGCCTACGGAGAGCTGGCCTGACCGCCAACCCAAAAAAGTGCCACCTTGGCCTGGAGGAGGCGGAATACCTCGGCTACACCATTGGGAGAGGCAGTGTGAGACCCCAATCCCGGAAAGTGGAGGCCATTGCCACCTGGCCTAAGCCAGCCACGAAGCGGCAAGTAAAAACGTTCCTCGGCCTGGTCGGCTATTATCAGTGCTTTATACCCCACTTTGCTACTATTGCAGCCCCTTTACACGAGATGACGAAAAACAGCCACCCACACCAGGTCCTCTGGAGCACCGAAGCTGAGGCAGCCTTTACAACCCTTCGGAGGGCCCTGTGCACCGAGCCAATTTTAAGCACCCCTAATTTTGAGGACACGTTCATCGTCCATACAGATGCCTCTGGATCAGGGCTTGGAGCCGTGCTGTCCCAGGTCAGAGGAGGAGAAGAACACCCAGTGACCTATATCAGCCGTAAGTTGCTAAAGCATGAGATCAATTATTCAACGTTGGAGAAAGAATGTTTGGCAATAAAATGGGCCCTGACAAAGCTGCGGTATTACCTCCTGGGCAGAAAATTCACCCTGGTAACGGATCACGCACCACTGAGATGGATGTCTACAGCCAAAGACACTAATGCACGAGTTACACGGTGGTTCCTCGAACTGCAAAACTTTAATTTTTCTGTTGAGCACAGGTCGGGAAAAGCACATGGAAACGCAGACGCCTTGTCCAGGAGGGAAGAATGCTATCTCGTTGACGCTCCTAGCCCCAACCTGGAGCTGGTGGAGGGGGTGTGTGGCAAACCAGGGGGAGGAACAAAGCACTTGGGGCGGAGCCCCAAGCTCCGGTTGGGGGAGGTGATAAGGGGGATTTATTATCCTGTGCAGGTGCTCCAGCCACTGGGAACGTGGCACTGGTCACACCTGCGGCCTATCTGGTAATCAGAGCAGACCCTAGATAAGGAGAGGAGAAGAGACCGGAGGGGGGCAGACGTCGGAGAGGAGGTAACCCCCAGGACTCACCGCTCTACTCTACTCTACTCTGCTCCTAACAGGACAAGGAAGCGGGCGCCACGTAGGAGGAGACGCCACATATTTCAGTTTGGAAGCCGGTTGGAAGAGCCGTAGTTTTTGACCTTTGTTATTAAAAGGACCCTTTTTGTTTGCATTTGCTGTCTGAGTTTCTTATTTTACGCCCGAATCTGGCCTCACTCCCCCTGGGTTACCACATCTCCTTTGGCAAGACACTAAACACTACAGTGTTTTATTTGTTTTGTTGTCAAATGTCCTAATGTCTGTCCAATGCACCAGCCGTCATGTAAAATTTCTGGTATGTCCAACGTACCTTACCAACAAACGTTTGTGATTGCTGATCCTGAAATGTTTCTACAATAGTTTCTTTGAGCGGCCCCGGCCAGAGGCGAAAAAGAGTCAACTGGCTTGAGTTTATGAATCAAAAAGAATTTAATAGTGATACAGTTACAAAGTGAAATGTTATGTGAATAGAATAGTATTTTGCAAAATAGACCCGATTCCATCTCATATGACCATAGCGGCTGTGATATTGCAATAATGAATCAGATCCCTCTCAACTGTCGTCAGAAAAGACCTAAGACCGTGATAATGTTAAAGATAAAGTTTGCAAAGTGATATTCCCGGCGTCGCTGCACAACCGACTCACAGACGCTTTATCCGACGGCTGCGTTTGTAGCCGTCTGGCCAGTGTCCCGACGTGCGTGGAGTAGCTAGTTGTAGTTATTAGTTATAGAACTAGTGGTTATTTCGCTTCGTTCGCATCCCACTTTATTTGCGTCTAGAAGGGGGCGTAGTTTATCTCTGTTACTTGTGTCCGTAAAGACAGTTGTAATAATTTCCCGGCGCACCCTCTCTACTCCATGCGCCACCGTTGACCCACTATATGCTGACATTTACGGTATTAAACGCGTAACTGGTATAAAGGCTATTCAAATAGCAAATTCCGGACAATAATGTATGTGTGTACAGGACCTCGCTGACTACTCGTGTACAATAATTGAAATATTTGTACAGTACAAATTTGGAGATTTCTCCAAAGTAAAAGCCCTATGCTTGTAAGTTAAAAAACACCATTTATCCATATTTGAGCTTCAATAAAAACTGATTTCTCAATACTTCCAGACAAAGACCAATGCATGTGTGTTAAGGACCTCTCCGACTACTAGCAGGCTTAAAATGAACTATTTGTAATGTACAGATTAGGAGATTTCTTCAAAGTAAAAGCCCTATAATTGCAAGTTCAAAAACACCATTTCTCCATATTTGAACTGCAATAAAAACTGATTTCTCAATACTTCCAGACAAAGACCAATGCACGTGTGTTAAGGACCTCTCCGACTACTAGCAGGCTTAAAATGAACTATTTTTAATGTACAGATTAGGAGATTTCTTCAAAGTAAAAGCCCTATAATTGCAAGTTCAAAAACACCATTTCTCCATATTTGAACTGCAAAAAAAACTAATTTCCCAATAGTTCCAGGCAAAGACCAATGTCCCCATGTTAAGGACCTCTCGGACTACTAGCATGCTGAATATGAAAGATTTTTACTATACAAATTTAGAGATTTCTCCAAAGTAAAAGTCCCATATCCCATATCTAAGTTCCATATCTCAAAAAGATAACTTCTCCATATTTGAGCTGCAATAAAAACATTTTTCCCAAAAATTCCACACAAAGACCAATGTACATGTGTTAAAGACCTCTCTGACTACTCTCTTACAAAAAATGAAATGTTTTTACCGTACAAATTTAGAGAATTATCCAAAGTAGATGTCCTATTTTTGCAACTTCAAAAAGGCAAAAAAGTTTTTTGTTTGTTTATCTTTTGTGACATAATATTTTCAGCGGCACTAATGTTGTGGTTAATTTATCACCAAACAATGTCAGGGGGAATGCACAAACACCTTTGTCACCTGTTTGTCTGACGCTGCAGTCGTTTGGCCCTCAGCCCTGCACAAGCACTAAGTTGAGGAGGATGATGAGGGAGGCGAGGGGCGCGGCTTGTGAGTGCCGCGGAGCACGTCGGGGCGAAATTCTCACAAGAACTCAAACAAATGCCTTGTCAGATATCAAAACACATTTGCGGGAAATTGATGACAGAAAGAATAATTTTTATTCTTAAATATGGATGAATGAAGATAAGACTGGGCTCCAGCAAATCCAGGGCAAAGGGGCAGGTCCTTGAGCACCATTAAGGGCCTATCAGTACACCTGCCTGGCACTATGTACGCTGCTACTATAGTCCTGCAAAGGACCCCACCTACATTAGTCATGGGGCTGCTGTGACCGCTTGTCGGCCTCCGTCTTTTCAAGGGATGCGCAAGCCTTTTTTGAACCGCGATGAACTGATGTTGAATCCTTTCAGGCTTTTCCTCTTGACCTGCAGCGAGTCAATCTGACTGTAACTTCCTGGGCTCATCCAGTGGTACGCCCCTTGAGCATCCCCCCCTGCCTGCATGGTAGTCCTCACATATTTCCGGTTTTCCCTGTACCTTTCCTGCGTGTAATGATGAAAATGCTGCTATTCCCCATCTTGTCTGATTTTCTCATTCATGGTCTATTGATGACCATGCAAATAAGCAGCAGTTAAATTTGAATAAATACGCTCAATTCACCATAAACCCATTATAGTTCATGGGTCATCAGATCACATATACAATCTGATGTGATCTGTGTCCAGGATGTCAGAAATGAATATGATGTTGTTGTCCCTGATTCAAAATTTACAAAGTTAATTTTGATTGGTCAAAGGATGTCTGTGTCTATTTTTCCCTCAACGATTCCCCCTTTGTTTGATCTTTTTGTTTTTAAAAAAAATTGTAATTAGGATTTTCCATTTTGTCTTGCTGTGTGAATTACCGTAAATATTGTAATATTGGGGGGTCAAGTCTGACATGTAGACTGAATATTTAACATTTACATGTAACATTCAACATGTATATTTAACATTAACATTTAACATGTACATTTAGATGAAACATTTATATGATTAAACACTTTGTGTTACTGACAAACATTATCCTTGGAAAAGTTATTTCATGAATTTATCTCTAAATGTTTGAAAAGGTGACATATGAACATTGTTGTGCTTTTTTTCATATGATAATGCTAAATGTACCAAAACTGAGCAGGATTTTAGAACGTGCGACATTTTACACACGACGCCCCACAGTATACTCACGGCAGAAGTCGGCGCTAATAGCGACTTTAATCTGGCTTTATACTAAAACAGGAAGTAGCTCTGTATTTTCTTCTAACTAAAAGTGCCAGCGATACTCGCGCAAAGGTACGGGATGTGGTCACCAGTTTGTGTGCTTAATTTGAAAAATAGTAAACCGGATGTCGAGGCTTGATGTCCGCCCGCTTTCTTCCAGCACCACTGCCAATAACCTCTGAGCCGAAGGAGGGACGTGGTTGAGCTGCGCTGCTTGTGCTTTACGGTCCCAGAGCAGCATCGCGCACTGGAAGAAGAACACTTTTCGGGATTTTCCAGACGAACAGACAGCCGGTCGATAACCATGAAGAACGCTCTTTACTGGGCCATGCTGGTCGGGATGGCCGTCCTGCTGATGGAGCAAGGTAAGAGATGGATCTCGTCCTCCTTCGCACTTGTTCCTCGCATATCCGATTCTGTTGGAATGGAAGCGCCTGTCAGTTGAGCCCTTTAAGTGCCTGCACTGGTCACCGAGATGCTCGTCACGTTACCCGCAGCTCAAAGGGAGCGATTAGTGAAGGAGCGGCCAGAGGCTCGACTGTCCAAATGTCCGAGGAGTTGTCCTCGATGCGTTTTTCACACCAGGCTGCAATATGTCCTTTGGAACTTTAATTTGGAACTGATATGCCCATTCTCAGCATTATCAGTGCTGCGTTGGTTTCTGTGTTTCTGCGAGTGAAACAGAAAAGTATTATTGGTCTCTGTGTGGCATGCGCGGCGCGGCTCTTTATTTGACAGAACTTGCATTCAATGTAGCAGGCATTTTGCCCCAGTGGCTCATTGCTGCCTGCGGATCATCTTGAGTCGTGGTACATCTCACTGACGGAAGGTCTTTGCTGCAAAGTTGATTAAGTATTTATTCTTAATCCACATAATCAATTGCGCGGTCAGGCCATCCAAGTTAAGCCGTGTTTTCCCGGGCAGCAGGGCTCAGTCCTTCTGACCTTCTTACACTTGACAGCCAAAGACAATCGAGCAAGTCGATTGTGGCGAGACTGAGGTGTGCTTGAAAACATTCAAATAAAGCAGAAAATACCTTTGGTACCTTTGTATACCCGTTGTGTATCCTACGTACCTTAAACCTCTTGTCCATCAAGCTCCACCAGATGCAGCAGAAACTCCAGGAGAGAGGAGCACTGCTATTTCTGACTGTGCTCTCTGCACTTTTCAACTTCATTATGTATTTCAGTCTCTGTGGTCACAGAAAGATGGAATAAGTGTTTTAAACTTGTTTTAATGAACAGACACTCCCACCATTGTACCGTAATGTACTATATATCATTAGCAAATGTACTATATATCATTAGCCATCCTTTGCTGGCAAGAAACCAATGTGAACGAGAACTTCTACAAACGATCTACTAAAAAAATACTGCATTTGAACTGAAAGGGGAAGGCGTTTGGTTTTGAGTCACATTACTGCAACTGGAAAAAAATGGATTTCAAGTCCCATACATTCTCCAGATGACACCAAAAATGCGCTAAAGCAATTGCATATCATCAAATCTCCTGCAGAATCACAAATGTGTTAGATTGGAATTTAAATGGTTCCCAGAAAGAAATTGGGTCATGCAGCAACAGACAGGGTACAGCATGTTTGATAAGAAAACAAATGCAGTGCAAACAGTGCAAAAGAAAATATGGAGGGAATGAATATGGAATGAACGAATAGAGACAATAGCTGATAAATGAAGATAATATTTTATTATTAGTGTTGTGTGTGGATAATATCCTATCTCTGTTCAGCATGGAACCTCCTCATCAACCAGGGTTAGTTTTTCAAGATTACAATTATTGG